TTGGCTCCAACTGTTAAATGATTATCTGCACTCTAGACTCCCAGAGATCGCAGGGCCTGGATCCCGGCCGGCAGACCTGCGGAGGCCAAGCTGCGCACGGAGGGCATGTGCTATGCTGTCTGCTTCAAGTGCAGCATCATTCGTGACTTCACCCTCTACACCTGGATGCGACTATGGGAATTCCAGCAGATTGCTCAGCGACATGCTAGTCTTGGGAATCGGATCCTTGCGGGTTGTGACGGGTAAAAAAAAATAGAGCATCTGATAAACGCTTTCTTTCAGTGGCAGTAGAGCATGGGATTCTTCTTGCCCCTGGTAAAGTCGAGCATCGGATCCCTAAACCCTAAACCCCTTAAACCCCTGAAGCCCTAAACCCCTTAAACCCCTCAACTCCCCTAAAACCCCTGGCAGGCAGTGAGGAGCAGGCCGCAGCTTGCTGTTGGTCTCAGCCTGCTCGAAACGCACGAAGAGGGCTCTGTCGGGCAGCGACCGCTTTATATCACCATTGAAAACTCCAAAGGTTCTAGTATGATAAAGCAAACTGAAATATATCATATAGTGTGCTACAAGGTATAATATATAGTATATCAGCATAGTATAGTACAGTATAGTATAGTAAATGTAATATATCATACAACTTACAAGAAAACTCCCTGGGCAGGTCGCAAGCCCGTGCAGTCCGAGCGAAGGTCTCCTCCTCCACAATGGTTTTCCTTTCCTGCGATTGCGGCTTCTGTTGGTGCGGTGGTGGGTTTTTGTTGGGTGTCTCAGGGTTTAGGGCTTTAGGGTTTCGGGGTTTCGGGGTCTAGGGTGTGCGTTTATCTATAGAGAGCTCCTAGTGGTGAGAGTGGAAAGTATATCAGGGCTTTGAGCCTCGCGGCTTCATCGGCATGGATATCTCGCTGCACTCGGCAAGGGGAGAGCGAGCTCCAAAACACATATCTGTGCATGTATGCGTGTTTACACACGCATACACGGCAGAGGGGTACATATCAACATGTGTGTATGCATAGGTACATTGTACGAGCAGGTAAACAGCAGAAAAGTACCGTGCCAGTCAAGACGAGGATAACGGCAAGGACCCGAACACAGATATAGGGGCGAGGAAGAAAGGCCAGACAAGGCAACACAAAGAGACAGAAGAGAGATGTTCTTAGATGTATGCATGTATACAGCTCGCTAAAGTGCGGACCAAACAACGAAGGATGTGCAAAACTGTACGTGGTTGCGTGCAGCTATATAAGAGCTGCAGCATGCATTCATTACCTGCATTTACCTGCCCAAAGATCAGCATTTCCGATCTCGTTCGTGAATAACTCACCATTCTGGATTTCCTGCGGCGCCTGTGTTACATGCATGTTGTACTGTTGTACAACTTGTACCTTTTCTGTCCATTGTCTGGTCACCCATTGTCTGGTCACACCGTAAGCCTGGACTGCTCTTGTTGCATTGCTAGCACCCCATGCCATCCCAGTACCTCCCCCTCTCCAGCTCAAAATGTCTACCTGCCTATCTGTCTATCTATCTGTCCATCCATCTATCTATCTATCTATCTATCTATGCATCGATCTATCGTGCTTACTGTAGCCACGACACGAGCCATGGTGTCGATACGGGCTATTCAAGTAGGTACAGTAGGCAGGAGCAAGTCGGCGGGCAGTCAGGTACGCGGGGACGTGTCTGTGTACAGGCTTGTGTTTGTATTTTTGGAGCTGCGGCTATAGCACGTGCGCTCGGCCAAGGACTCGGCCGTCCTGTCTTGCTCGCGTTCTCCAGCTGCCATGGGGTCAAACTAGCAGGTCACCCTCCGAACACTGACCACCCTCAACATTGAGATGGCTGTCTCCTTTGGCTCCCTAAATGTAAGTTGTAACTCAAGCCAACCTCCAGCTGCTGTCGGGCCATGCAGAGCCTGTCAATCCTCCATGTGGACCAGGATGGTTTCAGGCAGGACCGAGGAGGGCCCCCGTGCCCGGAGTGAGACTCTAAGAGAAGCAGGCCGGCCTCGGCCGCCTTGGGCCCGGAGTCTGCGGCGCTGGCGCAGCTGAAGGCCGCCGAAGTTCCGCCGAGAGCAGCTTGCATTCGAAGCTTCTGTGCGTAGGCCTTGCACGAGCTCGATCAGAAGTCCATCTTGAGTTCCATGGAGGTGATAGACTTGGATTTAGTGCTGCCATTCGGCTTGTTCGTACTTGTTCAGGCCAATGCGGTGAGGCGCAAGGAGCAGGCTCTGAGTGTCATATTCTCCCTGGGTTCCGTCTGACGTTTACGTGAAGATGTGAGGGTTTCCGAAAATAGGGGACCCTAGTATATCACCCTAAATTGTAGGATCCTTATTATAAGGGACCCCAAAATAAGGTACCCCTAATTTTCGGAAAGTCCCATATACGTCCCTAAACCCTAAACCCCCAAATAAGGTACCCCCTACTTTTCGGAAAGTCCCCATGTGCCCCTGGCAGGGGAACAGGGCCATGGAGAAGAGTGAGTATCGTCACGCGGTGAAGGAGTACAGCCATGACGCAGCCCCAGCGCTGAGCCCACCGAGATGGGTTGTTATTGGGTTCGTGACTACAATCATGTGCAATTTGTTTATATATGTATATATATATATACGCATATAGATATAGATAGTTATATACTTATCTGTGTGTACACATATGTATATATATATATATGTACTGCGCACACACACACACACACGTACCTACATTGTCATATATGAGAAGGCATAGTATGCGATAGTAACATATAACGAATAGACTATAGTTGACTATAGTACAATACAACAGCATAAAATAGTATAATATGTTATAAAGCAGCATAGTCAACACAACACAGTTTACTATGATGGGATATGCACAGTGAAAAAGTAGAAAGAAAGATAGATAGATAGATAGATCGATAGATGGATGGATAGATAGATAGCTAGGCTTACAGGCTATTAAACCTTCTTGTTGCGACGAGGCCCTGAGGCATGCCCAGGACATGATGGACTTCCTGGAGGCCACAGAATTCTGGACCCTTTAAGGGCCCTACTGTTGTGGGCTCGAAGCAACCCAGGTCGAGAAGTTTCAGCCTATGAATGGATACCAACTGAGAGCCCTGGCGAAGGGAGTGTCCAGCTGCCGCGCTTGCTCAACTTTCACAGCTTTGAAGTTTGAACACCTCCGTTCGAAGCGCGCACAGCTGGGATGCATGCAGCGGCCAGGCCACTTCCTGGCCGTGGGCCGGCAGCTTTGCAGCCCTTTCGTGCGGTGGTCTTGGCCAGCCGGGCAGCTATTCCCAGATCAGAAGCCTCATGAATCGTCATGCTATGCAGTATCCACCAGCTGGTGGCTTCGACGTGCACTGCGAGGCCTTGGCCTTCCTTCGCCTGGACGCCTACGACCGCGCAGCACAGGACGTGGTGCTCGAACGAAGGCGTCGCGAAGGGCCGTGGTGTCACATCGCGACGCAGAGGATGCCGAGCTGGCCTGCCAGCTCGAGCCCCGATTTTTGAAGGCGCACGGTGAAGGTAGTGTCACTTCGCATGACCTGTGGGCCATGCAGCCTACTGCCGCCTTTGGAGAGGCGTGGATACGCCGAGCGGCCGCCCTCGCCGCTGCGAATCTTCGCTCGGAAGCCCTAGAAGTTTTGGACGAGGCTTGCCGAGTGTACGAATCTTTGCAATTGCGAGTTGGTGCATCCTGGCGCAGGCTCTGTGTAAAGCCTGCCCAACAGACCTCTTGCGTGAGCAGGCCAAGACTTGTCTGCATTGTGCTTTGCTTGGCAGATGCGACGACGAAGTTGATCACGAGGTGTGCAAACTAATTGTGAACCTCCGAAACCTGGTCAATGTCGAGGTCAAAGAGCCAGAGAAGGCGCGCTCGACCTGTGTAGGTTGCGCCGCACACCATACGGAGAAGTTCTGCCAGGACCTGCCGGTGATTTTCGCCGAGGCGGACCAAGCACAGAGAAACCGTCCAGAGGTGGGACAAGCGGTCAGGTGAATCTAGTGCCCAAAGGACATGGAAGCGTTCTTTGGAAGGCAAGAAATGCAAGAATAATAGATGAAATGAAGCCCCACAGGGTGATGCAGGGGAGGCCACAAATTCTGAAATTGAAAAGACGAAGACAGATCCGTCGACGAGACGAAGGAGAGCATAGCAAGAGAGGAACGGAGGACTTGGGCTTGCATGCTGGAGCCAGCTTCGGACACCAGGATCTTGTCGCATGCGATTGGACTGAGTGAGTATATCAAGCAGACAGCAACGGAAGACGCAAAAGGAAGGAGCGCAAGGCGAGAGGATCGGTTCAATGGGCAGAGGCTGCACCAGTTCCATGCCATCAACAGCTTTGTTTGTGATACGTGTCATCTGTACTGAAGGGGGATGCCCGCGTCCTTTGGCTGAAGGGAAGAAGAAGAAATCTACGCAATCCCTCAACTCACCACAAGAAGATCTCGAACAACGGAGAAAACTTATGTTGCTTGCGCCAGGAGTCTGGGGATATATCAAGGCTCGGGGAGAGATTTGGTTGCCCCGAGCGGCTATGCCTGAACTGACTGTTCGGAGTTGCAGCAGCATGGCAGGCCATCGGGAAGTCCAAGTCCTGGCGACGCTTGAGTCATTGAGTCTCGCATGCCGGGTGCCTTGGCATTCAAGTCCATGAACCTTTCAGGTACGCATCTTTCGTGTTTCCCGCACATGAGAAAGTGTCATGCATTACAACGCTGGGCCACGAGTTGAGTAAGTCCTCGCCGCACAGTGAACTCGACATCACCGGCTCGATAATCAGAGTGTTTTTCGAAGGATATTTTTCGAGCGCTCGTTGCAAGTTTTCTGAGGCAACAATCAGCAAGATGCCAACCAGCTTCCTCGCACGACGACCTGCCACTGCCACATTGAGTTCGTAGCTCCTGCTGGCGAAGCCGGCTAGTGGATCTTCTGCCGCGTGGTGTCGAGAATCCACCACTGCTCAGTTGGTGAAGGAAACGAATAAGCTCCGAGCCTGGCATCGGGTTTCGGCGGTTGCGACGAGCCTGGCTTCACGATGTTGCGTCGACCTGGGAGAAGAAGCACCCAGATCGTCTTCTGGCTCCAGGCTTCCCGAGTCATTGCGCGCCTCAGATGGAAGGCGAAAAGTGTCTGTAGCAGACCCGACCCAATGGCCCAATGGCTCGAGAAAATTCAACCGGCAAAGCCTGGGATCCCTCGCAGGCACTGTCCCAAGAGACTCGAGCTCGCTTGTACCCCAAGCATGGCACTCAGCTTCAGCCCTGCAAGCCGAGAAGCGGCACTCTACTTGACTACTTGCAGCCTGCGAGCTGAGGACGCCTTCCGCGAATCGGCATGTTTCAGCCGGCAGTGTGGACCGTGCACGCTTCGCAGCAACCCGAACTGCTTAGCTGTAGTGAGCTGAAGCAAGTGTTGCGTCTCCTCCTTTTCGTGATGCCACGGCTACCGCCTACTGCTGCTACTACTACTTCTACTACTCCTACCTCCTACTACTCCTCCTACTACTACTGCTGCTGCTACTACTACTACTACTTCTTCTTCTACTGCTACTACTACTGCTACTATTACTACTACTGCTACTACTACTACTACTACTACTACTACTCCTGCTTCAACTCCCACTGCCACTGTTACTACCAATACTATGCTGCTGCTACTAGCATGCTACTACCACTGTTGCGGCTATCGGTCGTGCTTCAAGGTAATTTCTCTCTCGCTCCTCTCTGCTTCCTGGTTTTTGCTGTGTGCTCTTTCTTTCCGGCTCGTGGCAGGATGCCTTCGTCTCTCGGCTCGTGAACTTGGCGATCGACTTCAAGGGCGATGCAGCGACAGCATCAAGAGAAGGGCTCGGGTCCCTGAAGCGCTTTCGGCCGGCTTGCGACTGGCACAGCTTCGTTTGTGCCGAGGCCAAGGTACCTTCGAAGAGGCCAAGTCCGTGAGGAGGTTGACTTCGAGGTCCGGGGATGCTCTGGGGGCGAGCTTGTTGTCGTAGCAGTGAACATGCGCTTCGAAGCTGCTATAGGAGTACAAGGGCTTGTGCTTGCTTGCATCAGTACTGAGCAAGGTGCACGGTCTGGGCCCCAGCTTTTGCCACAGTGGGAAGCCTTGCTTCAGCTTGCTGGATTCTGCTCGTGTGAGACTGGACTAGCGATCCGGTTTCAGGATCTCCTGGCCATTGGCAAGAGGGTGTCAGCTCTGTGCAGGCAGGCGCTCAGGTTAAAGATCCTTGGTCAGAAAAGCCTTGATCTGACCAGGACCTAGACTTGCTGCAGTTCTGGCTGGCCTTGCCGGACAAGGCCCAAAAGGGAGCTTGAAATCGGGATTCGGGATTCCACTGAGCATGAGCACAAAGGCGCGCCTCGGCGTCTTGATGAAGCCAGAGCAAGCACGAAGGGTGATCCAGGCCGGACCTCGACCCATGCTGCCCAAGAGGGAGCTCAGACTTACTTGTAGATCCTTAGATCCGAAATGCACAGACAAACCCACCAAGGAGTATGTTGCGGGTAAAGGAGCGGCGGAAAGAGTTTCGAGCCCAGCTTGGACTTGCCCTTTTTTTGGACAGGACAGTGTTGTTCCTGCCCCCACACGTCAAGGTCTCTCGAGCATTCACCGCGAAGTTCGGCTACGAGACCCGAGATGTGACAGTTCTGTTGCGGTCTTGGCATCTTGGAGTTTATCGAAGGGCCGTGCCTGGTTTGCCCCAAAGGTTCAGATTTTGGCAGTCCATGCCCAACAACATCCGGGCGGGCTTGCAGGTGCGAATCTCTGATTGGATACGGTGCTTAACGATGTCCAAACATGTCATGAACTTGCACCGAGGGCCAAGAAACTCTGCAAGAGTGACATTTTGAAAGGTCCGTGGCTACTCCAATCACGAGGCATGCCGCTTCTCAGCTCCGACTCCTCCGCAGAGCAGGAAGCTTTGGGTGCCGACCTCGCAGGCCTGGAAGCATCTTCAAGCGTACGCACAAGAACGGGCCGAAGAGAAAGCAGCGCTGCACTGAGGAAATTTGAGCAATGCCTGCTATGGCTGATCAAAAGGTTTCATGAGCATCTCACGTTAAGGTTCCTCCGAAGTCACCTAGAGAAGGAAAGAGGCCGGTGGACCCGAAGCCGCACTGAAGCCAGATGGAGCCGGTAACCTGAAGAGATGCAGGCCAAGAAGCCAATGCACCTGCCTGACTGTTCTGCGAACAGCCCCGTTCTTGTCAAGTGTTTGTAGGAGTCCCTGGCGACCAGCTGGAGAACTTCCGGAGGCATGAGCTTTATCAGCTGATGTTACTTCAGTTGGCAACGTGCAGCGAAGCCAGAACCTGCCACACACACGGAGATCAAGCTTCGCCGGCCACAGGCTGTTGAGCCTCAAGCAGCGCGTAGTCGCAGTGGGCGTGAGCACCCGCTGTTCAGCTGGTGGCTATAGAACCATGACAAGCAGCGCGATCGGATTCGCGGGTAGCTGGGGTCTATATAGAGGCACCGAGCACCCAATCTCATCATGTTAGACAACCTTACAATCAGCACCGTCTCACCCTGACCCCTGTTGCTCCTGTTTGCAATTTCTGCTGCAATTTGTTCTGTCACCGCTTGAGTACGGCATACTACGGCAGTTTTTCTTGTTTCGTCTCATAAGTTGATCGACTGCTATGAATAGTTCCTGTCATCAGATGTCTTGATCAGCCTGGCATGTTTTATTCCGCCATGGTGATCTCCCGCATTTCGTCTGGCACTGAAGCGGAGCAATCGGCCAAGTCTGTCTCACGCAGATCCAGCTGCCCAGGTCATTGCTTCGTGCCAAGAATGGTCTTGGGCCACTCAGCAGAAGACTCCACATACAGCGGGTTTGCATCGTGGTTTCCACCAGATGTCACCTTGCAGAGTCTATCAGGTGAATCATCGTCGGCTTAGGCAACAGAGTGAGGAAACATCACGTCGATGGAGTTAACTCATCACACGAATCGGCAATCAATCATGTTAGTTTTGTTTCTTTTTTGGTGCGTGCATGCGTGTGCGCGTCTGAGTTAAATGAATCTACATGTACGTCGACAAGTCTAACGTTCTAGAGAACTACACAGCAAACGCAGCAGATGAGATTTTGTGCTTTGTTTGGGAGCCCGGGAGATGCCAAAGGGGGGTTTGATGAGGGCCTAGCTAGGCTTTCACAAGTTTGCGGACATGGTTTCAACAGCGCCAAATGCAGAGACGTGCCATTGCATGGATGAGTTTTTAACTCATGAAGTGCAGGATCTTTATAGGTCTCTTATCTGTGCATCTGTCACATCTTGCGACACTGCTGCAAAGTTCCTTGGGCCGCAGGGGAGGCACTGAACCGGAGGCAGCAGGTGCATGCAAATTCGCAATAGGGAGCTGCTGAGCTGTCGCCTTTCATTGGAACCGAGTGGTGATCAGTGGGAGAAGTTGAAGCTGTGCAGAGAAACCAAGTTTCAGCACTCATGCTAATCATGGTTGAGAACGGCCACATCTGTCTTCAACTTAGGTATACATGATATACAGTACCAGCAGAGAGGAGCCTGCGGGAAGAGAATAGTCAAGGCGGCCACAGACTGCCATGGGCCCCAGGCCAGGCACAGCCTGGCTTAACGTTAAAGTTCTACTAGCTGTCAGGAGCTATTTTATATGTGAATTTGGAGAGTGATGGCAGAAGATTTCAGTCTTGAGGTACTTGATGATCATCTCGATACAGTTTGGTCGCCTTCACTATTTTATCCGCAGCAGCTGCGCCCGCCTGCAACGCGACTTACTATTGCAGCTGCCATATCTTGACGCACGCCAGGCATACAGCCATTGCTTGCGAAGCAGTTCATCCATCGTGACTGCGTGCAAGAAGCTCAGACCCGCGAATTTGGATGAATTCGACATCCAGCTTCCCGACGACTGCTTCGAGCCTTTGCTCCTTCCGCTCAGGACAAGTTCCTTGGTCTTTTGCGCAGAGATGGCCAAAGTCGCCAGGACTTTACAGTGTCAGCATGAGAGCGCACAAAGTCACGGAGTCCGTCTTCCAACTTCTCGCCGCATCCGCAATCCAAGTTGGCGCCCCGAGGTTGGCTGCCTTGCGATTATGCATGGGGCCCCAGCATCTCACGCTGTCCCCCATGCAGAGAAAAATGCAGAGTAGTTCAGAGACTTCGGAGACCTTGCCTCAGAGCCTTTTGCTTCGTTGAGGTTTCTAGACGACACGGGCAAGAGGTGCTTCAGGAACTGGAAACTCCAGGATTGCCTGCTCGCAGCAGGCCAGGGACCAGAGCTCTCGAAGGCTTCCAGCCTTGATCCTATCAGATACCAGGCATCCCCTCCGTCACCTACGTGGTGCAGAACTTTTGCGTACAGGCAGGACATGGCAGGACCACCAGTAAGAATCCCCAACGGTCACTTTGACGGGCTCCACTGAGTGCAGCACACATGTGATGACAGCTGTGCCAATGCAGTCCGCAGTTAAGCAGGTCGCGTACCAGAACCTTGATGCGGTGGTCTTTAATGCTTGGAGCTTACGGTCCAGCGCGTGGCTTCCTGCTCTAAGGCATATAGGTTATTTGGCTCGACCTCTAAACGATACACTTTTGTCTTTTGGTAACCGTCGGTCTGTTTAGAACGAAGGCGGTCTGACAGAACAGAGAGGTCCAAGTTCCAGCCTCGAGGTCTTAATGGCCTAAATGTGAAATCAGCCTAGCTGTAGGAGAAGAACCGATTACAGCTTCACTGTGCAACATTGCTGTTGCATTCGGTGCTCAAAAACTGTGCTTGCAGTATACCAACCCCCACAGCTGCAGGGAAGCAGCAAGGCTGCCGAAACAAAACTCGCAAGATCTATTGTTCCCATGTGGTGATGGTGTCTCAGGTGCTGAATCAGTCCAAAGTGTTGTTCACAGCTCTGTTCTCCTTCCTCATCAGTGGAAGGAGTGCCTGTGAAAACTCTCACCAGACTTGAGAAGCTGATCCTGCCAGGAGGCAATCACTGCAACAGTGTGTCGCTCTGGTGCTCGTCACCGCCGGCGGAATCCTGGCGCAAGCCTCAGCTGCAAGCGCGTCGCTCCGCAGCAGAGAGGAAGGCAGCAAGTGGGAAAGTATTGTGCGAGGGAGCTTGTGCACGCTGGCAGAGAAACCCAATCCATATTTTGTCCTCAATGGCGGCTTGTTGCATCACGAAAGGTTGGCCACTTCCTTTTCGGGGTTCGTGGGGCCGCCTCCCCAACCGCAAGGAGAGGTGAAAAGGAAAATGCGGGGCGAGGGGAAAATGGGGGGGAGGGGCACTTGTAGGCAAGCCCGAAAACAAAATCCGATCAGTGATCATGGATGCCTGGAGACCTCTCGCGCACATGCGACATCTATGCCTTGCCAGGTGAGCATCCCCGACAGTCCGCCTGCGCAGGCGGACGAGAACTCAGAGAAGCAGGCCCAGTGCACACGGCGGAACACTTTTAGCAGCAGTCGCCTCGTTTGGCATCGTCCGAGTCCGTTTGTGACAGGAGGAAAGGCGTTTTCTCGGCCTTGTTTGTTCCGTGGTGGGCGCCGCGCTTAGCGGCCTCGGCAGCGGCATTGCGGCCAAACTGGCAACTCTTACCCGCTCGTGAGCCTGCATGCGCTGCGCAGAGCCTGTAGGCTGTGCGAAACTCCCACATCCCCGCGCGGTCCTCGCGCGCGCCAGGAATGGGCGCTGCAGAGGCGAGGACGAAACAGCTTCCTCCTTTCCTTGGAATTGGCCTCGATGGGCTGCGAACAGCTCAGCTTTCTGTGCGGTTCAGTTGTCAGCAAAAAACTGCCGCCATCTGCGGACAAGGCACGATTATTGGCACAACTTCTTTGCTGGGTCTTTCGCCCGACAGTGTCAGGACAAAGCCGAAGCACGCAAGTGATGGTTGACAGTGAAATCAGACCCTGCAGCGCGAGTGCAGGATGCGAGAACACGGCCCTTTTGCTGGCTGGACTTTGTGGACTTGGGTTCCCGTGCCCGCTGGCTTGTCAAGAGCTCCCCTTTGCTTGGCAGTCCCGACGTGCTGAAGCACCGACTTTGCTCTTGCTCTCCTGCTGCAGACTGCAGCTTCTGCACTTGGGCGTGTCAGAAAGGAAGATTGATCCGAAGAGCGGGCGTCCGGCTTTGCTCACTTGATGATCCTAGATGAATGCAGGAAGAAACGCGAGCGTGACACTTCAGCATATCGCCCGCTGCTTCGTGGTGCAATTCTGTGAAAGAATGCTTATGGCCTACATGTTTAAGGGCCTACTAAGCCCCTGTCAAACCCGCTTTCGTTGCAGTACGCGCCAGGTACTTTGCCAAGGCCTGAGCGGTATCATCGTCGGAATCATCACGCAAGTGGCTGCGCACTGAGGGGAGTGGGGCAGAATGTGACAGACATGTCCGTTTCAAGGACATGTAGGGCACTCCAGACTGAGACCTGCTACAGTAGGCTGCTAGGCTTATTTAAAGGTTCTCCTTCCTTCAGCGAGATGTCCAGGCCGGTGGTGTCCGGAAGGTCATGGCCACCATTTGCGGTCTTATTTTGACTTGCGTGCCGAAAGCCAAGCAGACAGAGAGTGTTGGACGGTGTGGTCTTGAACGAATTGCAATTAGCTGCGGCGTCCATGCACAATGCTGAGGCTGCAGCAGGCTTTATTTGGCATGCACCTAACGTGGACCCGTCCCGCTTCAGTTGGCGCATTCCTATGAACCACCTGCAGCAGGACGACTAGAAAGAACCCTTAGACTTGTTGAGCAAATCCCTTGTGCAGAAGCATTGCCGGGCATGCATCATCAGCTTTGCCAGGTGGCTAGTTCTTGCCGCCGTGCCTCTCGTTGCGAGCGGTATCTATCTTCATGCCCCTTGGATCAACCTGGACAGGTTCAAGATTGCCAGTAGCAGCACATGTTTGCTTATCCGAGTTGGTCATTGCAAGTATCGGTGATGTGCCGAGGCAAGTTTTCCGCCGCCTTCGCAACATTTGTCCTGATGCAGTTTGAAAAAGCGTGTGTGCTTCTGTTGCCTGCGCATCGGATACCTGAATGCACGATTCGGGTCTCTCTGTCTAAGTTCGACCTCAGTGTACAGTGTGCAACAGAGAATTGCGCAAGGATGCACACTCGACGAGAAGTGATGTGCAACTGGCGGTCACAGCAAGAAGCAGAGAGACTGCGAGAGGAGCCATCGATCACAGGCCACACAAACACTGACTTTGACATCCCCGGTGACGACTCCACGAGGCCAAGGTGCCCCCTCTCTTCTTCCGCAGTGGCAGCAAGCATATGCTTTCCCAAACGCAGATGGAGAACAATTCCAGTTCCAGTCGAGGCAAGAGGCGAGACATCAGTGCCCTCGCCCGCTCAAGACCGCGCGTGGACGCGCTGGATTTCGTCCGAGCTGCCTGGCATCAAATATGCACGAGTGATCTTGATCGGATTTTTATGGCATGAGGGCCAGGTACTTGAAGCAATAGTCCCAAACAGTTTCAGATCTCTTCTTCAAGAGATGTTGCGCGGTGTGTGCCATATTGGGAGTGATGAGTACAAATACCAATCCATCAGTCACAAGGGCAATAGATTTTCGATTCGGGTCACATCCCACACTTTGCGACCTCGTGGCCGTAGGTGCTAGGACAGTCCAACCGTGGTCCACGTTGACACCAGGCTAATTCCGAATAAACTGTTGCGTGTTCGTGCCTGCTCCAGGCAATTGCAAAGCGCTTTCCGGAGGATAAGACCTTGAAGCACATGCTGAAGCAGTGCCTGGAAGGCAAAGGAAGCACACCATTCACCCAGATAGTTGGGAGATGTTGGGAGTATTTGTTCGGCTGATGGTGCCGGCCAGGTGATCCCAGTGCTGCAGCCGCAGACACAGACGCCTACAACTTGCTGGTGGACACGACTGCCCGATGACTCAGCGGTCGCCAACAGATCTGCTCACTCTTTGGACCTGAGCTGCCTACAGCTACCGCATCTGCTGAAAGGATTCGATTTTGATTCGATTGGATTTGTGGCATGCCTGGAAGTCGGTCGAAGCCTGCTGGAGGTTCTGAAGCAGGCAAGCCGTGACAAGCGGCCCTCCCAGCGTTGAGTGTTGCAGTGTTTGTCGACACTTAGGACTTAGGAAGACTTGAGAGCACAGCACTTGATCAACCCGCATCTCTTGGTGCTCCCACCCCCCTCTCCGCTAGCCTTGCTCGAGGACACCAAAACCAGCTGCCGGACAATTGGATGCTCGATTGAAATTGCCGGCGGCCAAGTCATTTGCCAAGTCTCACGCTGGCTTCACTGCCCTCGTTGCAGGAAGGTGCCTCAAGAGGAGGCTCGGGAGTCAGCGCTTTTTTGGGGAATCTCCGCGAGAGCTCCTGCGTCCTGCTTCTGGTGTCAGGGTTCTTTCCAGACCTGGCTGAGCCAAGACGCAGATAGGGCTGGGAGGCTGGGCATGGCAGTGGATCTCACCGGAACACTGAGCTCAGACTCCATACTTGTGGGCAGGTTTCTCCACTTGCTGCAAGACGCCAGCAAGGTCTCTAGAAAGATTCGAAGCTACATGCGCCACCGCGCCAAGCAGCGCCCTCCTTGTCTTCACCGTGCTGCGGATGTTGAGTGTCTTTGCGGGAGGCATCAAGCCAGCACAGCATGGATGTGAGGTGCTTGGAACGAGGCGCACGGCTTGGTCCAACAGGACCCGTGGTTCCAGCCAGGCTCCTCGCGCAAAAGCAGACGGTTATAGAGGGGTCGCCCCGCCCGCTTCAGCACCTGCCAGGAATAGGACAGAGGCAGACCTTCCCGCCTTGTACGTCATTGAGGCTGGCGTCGGCTCATTGGTAGTCTGTGTTGCTGCTCGGGGCATCGGCATGTTGAGTGTGTGAGTGTGTGGGGGTGGGGGTGGCGGGGGTGTCCCCTCCACTCCCCTCCCCTCCCCTCCCCTCCCCTCCCCTCCCCTCCCTCCCCTCCCTCCCCTCCCTCCCCTCCCTCCCTCCCTCCTCCTCTCTCTAGATTCTAGATCTCGGGGAAGTTTGTAGATCTGAAAGCCACCAACTCATACTTACTCGCAAATTGACACAGGACACCTTCGCTCATCTTTGTCGCAGATTTGGTGCGAACGAGGTCGGGATCGTGCAAAAAGGATCTGTACTCAGGGTTTGGAGTTTGCGATCACTGGGCAAACACTAAACCCAACCCTAACATACTCTGACATGCGATGGTCATGCTTGGCCCTGCTTTGAACGAAAGGTCTACATTCGTTTTGGCCCGTACTATCTGCGGCGGGCTAAGAATTTGCATGCGCATCTCTCTTATGCAGTGAAGCAATGTTGCAACCTGGTTCCAGAGGTGTCGCACCGTCAACGACTCCAAGGAAACAAAGCCCCTCATTGAAGAGTGCACGGCTCAGCATGAGGACCGCGCGTTGCCCTCAAACGGCTTGCAATGTTTCCCAGGATACCTGATTCAACATCCGGCCTGGTACTGAGACTTAACCAGGCAAGATGAGCACGATCAGTTCCAGGTTTACATCGGGATCGGGAGGGCTCTACTATGTTCTACTTAAGGTGGTGCGGTCGTTGACTGTCCAACTCACGGCGTCTCCTGTGGCCAGCTCAGATCTCCCAAGTCTCAATTCCCGAGTTTGCGAAAAACAAGCTTTTGTCCCCTGACAGTGCGGGCGAGGTGGGCCCCGCATTTCTGCCGCGGAGCCCGACCAGAAGACTGGGTCTGCTCTTGCAGCTTCCGCTTTGCAACCGCTCTTGGTGTCGGGGGGCCTCGATGGGGATGGCCAGGTGGCATCCAAACATCGCAAGCCCCGAGTTCAGCTCCGGGGGATCCTGGTGGTTCGGGCCTCGGTCGTTTCCCCCCCGCAGAAACGTCGCGGCCTCCCGGACCTGGGAGGCAGATGGACCTGGGGCGACTCCACAGCTGCACAGGACTACGCCCAGCCCCCAGTGCCGCAGTGGGGGATGCGTGGAGACTTTGACGCGGCACTCTGCGATGCTCTGAGGGTTGGAATGGTCTGTGCCCACCATCAAGAAGGCTTGCCAAGAGCAGAATAAATCGAAGACTTGTGCATTGACAGTTTTCAATTATTCGTTTGTACAAGTAGCTTCTCGGTCACAATGTTGCTATACCCGAGTGAGTTCATCTGCGCCCTCGTAAACTTCTTGCACAGCATGGTTTGCCCCGGGTGTCCGGGTGGGTGCCGGCTACCAGTGGCTAACAGTACCTGATGAAAGCATGCTGATCCTTTCGTATGGCATCTTGCTTTGTTGAGCGTTGGTGGCGGGCGCCCTCAAGTCTACTTACTACTCTTCGTAATTGCAGGTCACCTACGCCACCCATGCTGAATTCCAGTCGGACTTGCTTCTGGCAACGGGTCTTCGCCTTGAATATTCGTTTGGAGGTCCCGTCAACCGTCGCCAGAGTGCAACATTTCAGTTCAGCCTGAGGTGATGGCCACCAAATTGTCGTAACTCAGGTACGGAGCTCGGAACCAATTCAATATGTCCCAAATCCTCGTGCTGTGGCTGCTGTGGGTCTAAGACATGCTTCATCTCTGTTGTGTTTGGATCACAAGCAGTACTCCAGCTCACTGCGTTTGTAGAAACATGCCGCCATGAGAACCTGCAAGAACCGAGCATAACGGGCACTGCAACGCGAAGCCTTCCCAAACAGGCTTCGGGTCTCTGTTTCACTCGGAAGAAGCAGAGAGTGCACTGAGTGAGATTGGAAGGCTCTCAGGTCGACAGCTCTACAGCATGCGAAGGCGCATCGCTCATCCCGAAAGCATACTAGCTTAATAAGGGTTCAACCACGTCGGAAGGAGCACCGGATAGCTCATGAGCCGTAGTATCGCTGAAGAACAATCCTTCCAGAGCTGCAGAGAATCCTTTGCTCCGAAGCTGGGGTCAACGAAAGAAGATCATTGTAACTCTAGCGTGCCCGGGTCTACATACAAAGCTTCGTCCGAACATGGGCGATGCCTCCACCGACAAATGCTACGTTGCGCTAAGCGGGTCAAGAGCTACAACGGTAAGAGACAGGGTTTGAACTGTATGCAGTTGTTCCGAGCAAGCTGGAGCGCGAGGACTGCACAGACCAAGTTGTACTTAGATGGCAAAGAATGCACAGATGGCAAGCATCCGAAGACTTTGCGCCAAGAGAGGTGCGCGATGGAGGCAGAGCCTTCCTGCACGGGGTAAAACCTGGGGACGTCAGGAGCCTGGCGAGTCAGCAGCAACATGTTCGCACTGGCAGCCGGACTGCATTCGATTCAGGTCCTACAGCTGAATGCTGGCGGAAGTACAGATGCTGCGTTCGTTGGGCGCGGGTCACAGGCTATGCTTTGGAAACGTAGACATGACGAAGGTTGGACGACGCAATGCCCTGCTGCTCCAGCCTCGAAGCCTGAGGCTTTCACCTGCGGACGCCATGGCGAAGATCGTGAAGGACTTCACGCCGCCACTGACATTAGTCTTCAAGGCCTGCCCAAGTTGAACAGCGCTGAGCAAAGTCGTCGGGCTAAGCCCTAAACATCGGCAAGTGCAGCCTCTGCTGAGCTCCGACTATTGCGCCAGGGTACATACTCTGTCACAAAAATGCCACAGCAGCTCCAAGACTTCTGAGATGTAACCACAAGAGCAGTAATCACGGGTGACTTGTGTTGTGTTTCGGGGACTCCCTGTTGCAGCAAGGGTTTGCTTGCACAAGACCTTTGTGTCACCTGACAGTTGAAGCGTAAGCTCACGTGTGAGTGATGTGGCGCTGCAGGGCACAAAGCTCAGCGGCGACAACCGAAGGCTGCAGAGTCTGCTGCAGCAGCCACTGAAGGCACATCACCCGCAATCTTCTCCCTGTGTCCTTGTCGTCACGACTTGAATTGGCACCAGCTGCTCCCTAATTAAGACAAGTGAGAGGATATCCCCTTGATCCAGCGACATCAGCATTGTCTGCAAAGCATCAGTAGCATCGCGTCCAACATGTAATCAGTCGGCACGCAAGCATTGTCGGCCCGGGCGCAGGTCAGAGTGCTTGTGAGCAAGAAGCACGTCGCACCCTCTACAGATGCTCCAGGGGAATGGGAGCAAGTTCTAGAGCAGGACTGCATGCTATCTTGCAATCATAGACTGCTTTTATAGCATTCCGAAGCCTTGTGAAGTCCTATGACCGCCAAAGGAAGTTACCGCGACCACGCAGCATCCTAGCATCGCATGTTCCTCAGGTTGTGTGGGAGTCAGAGTAGCCGAGATGTGTTCTCAGTCTGATATCAATGTCGACTGAGACGGAAAGTTTTGCAAGTCCAGACATGTGTAGTCGGAGGTGCCCAGCATCTTTGTTGCGCGTTGGGCCGCTTCCTTAATGCTATTGAGGCGATGCAGTCTTGATACTGGGGACATTGGTGGCTCAAGAATGCTCAAGAGGTCCAGCAGCAGCCTGCGATGAGCTGCGCAGTCCCAGGTGCAGCTACGTTTCGACAGCGCATGGCCCAAACTTGACAACGAGGCACGTTCCTCGTGCAATTTGCAGAATGCACTCGTCGATTCTCCAGCTACTCGTGGGTAGATCTGTATCTCAGTCTCTGGAATGCCACGACGTCCGGCAAGAACAGCAGGCCCTCGCCGTGTCCGTGAAAGTGATGAAGGCAGGGTGGGCATGGTAAATCGAGATAGAGCTGCTGAATGAGTTGACGAAGAACAACAACGCTAACAACAACAACAACAACCACAACAACAACAACCGCAACCACAACCACAACAACAACAACAACCACAACCACAACAACAACAACAACAACAGCAGCAACAGCATCAACATCAACATCAACATCAACATCAACAAACATCAACGTCAACATCACCAGCAGCAGCAACCAGCAACAACAGCAACAGCAACAGCAACAACAACAGCAACAGCAACAGCAACAGCAACAGCAACAGCAACAGCAACAAGCAACAAGCATCAAGCAACAAGCAACAAGCAACAAGCAACAAGCAACAAGCAGCAACAACATCGACATCAACAGCAACAACAACCAACTATAACCAGCAACAGCAGCAGCAGCAACAGCTGAGTTGTTATAAACCACCGTTTTGCTCATTGTGCGGAGGAGACATGCAGGGTACGGCAACGTAGCAGTATCAGTATCATCAGCCAAGAAGCAGTACACATAAATTCGTGAATATTGTGGCACTAATCAGTTCAATAAGAGCCTGGTTGACATCAATCTCGGCGTTCTCCAAATGCAGCAGTTTGCCAGGGTACTTGCTCGGTAAGGGGCTTTTGATTGCCGGTTACTCCTCGGTGGGTTCAGACCCTGTACGCGGGCAGTTCAAAGTGTACACGACCTTGCGAAGGCAGTAGCGCGTGCCTGTGTTGAAGTGAGGTCTGGAGGCTAGCGCCGCCACTCTTCCGGCAGCAGTTTCTGGAAAACCTTCGGCAGGTGGAGAGGTGCCCGAGGGGGGATCCCGAGACCTCTGGACTCGAGCCCGTCTTTGCCAGTCCACACGATCAGATCTGCTTTACGGAAGGCATCTGCGCAAGTTCGGGATTTCAAGCTGCGCTTGCAAGCTTGAGGCAGGCTGCCAAAGGCCATGCTCTTGTCCGCCAGCCTGACGGAAGGCCGGGACCAGTGCATACCGGCAGAATTCGGACGGCACTCGACCTGTCTTTCATCTCATCGCCTTGAGGAAATGGTTCTGGGCATCTTCAGTCAAGCGAGAGAGCTTCAACATGATGATCAACATGGACATCGTGACTGCCTCACCTCTAGGCAAGGGTCGCTTGCTCCGCACCTTACTTGTATCCGTTTTAGGTTATATATACATAGTAACAGTATTAATATACTGATATCGTGGCTTGTCCAGATTCTAGATTCTAGACCCATGGTCCAAGCTCTCTTTCTGAGGTCAGACGAGTCAAGCGCAGCCACGACAGCGAAGGTGACGAAATGCTAGTCGGCGGCCTGGGCAACATGGAGATCCATCAGCCTGCCTCCGCTGATCTCCGCTGTACTAGCTTACTAGCTCGGCCGCTTACGTGAAACTTATCTGCTCTTGCACGGCGCACAGTCTCTTCTATTGGGGGTACAGCGGGGTCAGTGGTGCGATGCAGCCGCCTTGGTGAAGGCAGAGCTGCCTAGCAGCTACTGCTTCTCAGGCGCGTCTCCACCTAGCTGCCCTAACTGAAGGGCTAACAGGGCACAGTCCGACTAGTGCGCTTCTGGGGCCACCACGGGGCCACCTTCGACTGCGGATGCACGCTCTCATGGGAGAACCACCTGCAAGAACTCAACACGTTCAGAGTCTTTTTTCCAGCTCGTGGATGCACAAATCTCGGATGAAGCATGCGTTTTCCGACTCACTCCGCGGAAAAGAGAACGATGCCTCGGGCCTTGGGGCTGGATCGTTGGCCCAGCTTCGCGGGAAGTCACTACGTAAATTGACTGCGCAGCATTGCACAGTCGGGCGGTCGTGCGGGTGGGCACATCTAGGACTGAGGGCAGCTGGATACCCGGCAGACAGGGGCAACTTGGCATTTCCAATCGGCTCTGGGCCAAAGTGCGGGCTCTCGAGCGTCGACTCTCGGACTGATGGGCAACGTGAGAGCACTCTGCACCGCATCTCCAGTCGCTGTGACCGGGGGGGCGCTGGAGAAGGTGTTTGCACGTGTTTCCTCAGATCAGTGAGCGTACAAATCTGGTTTGGCTAGTTGCAGAGCAACAACAGGTTTTGTCAGGTGACAAACAACTTGGCCGCCTCCGATGAACGTGAGGCGCCTTGAAACGCGGAAACCTGCTTTGAACATCTTCGCGAGGGCTGGACAAAATTACCCCGTGTGCAGAGGACGGTTCGGTCAACTCTGTACACCTTGCAGCCTGGATAGCCGCCAATTTGGAAATATGTGCAAGAGATCATTAAGCGAATCTTGGATTTAACGTCCGAGTGTCAGCTGAAGAGGTGCACGTTCAAGTTTCCGAGGCCTTGCAGATGATGTGCATGCGCGACAGGAAGGCGAGGGCCCGAGTTTTGCAGCTGTGTCAGTGCCTTGTCGGACCCACATTTGCCAGCTGAAGAGCACAAATGCAGAGGAATTCAACATCCTGCGGTCTGACGAAATGCTCGCTCTCAGACAGCGCATCTTTACGAAGGACTGCCCTCCTGCACAACCATACGTCCTCTAGTTGGTGCCAGCATGCGACTACATTGTAGTACGGCACACAGTCTAGAAATGTCCAGAAGAGTTTGATTGTCAGGAGGAGGACGTTCTCGAGTGCACCTTCCATCCGAGAACTGCCTTTCACTTGGGAGAGTGGTATCGGCTGCACCATGCTGCGCTTACCGCGTTTCTCGATATCTTGAGCCTCCTTGAGGCCGCCAATGTGCCAGGCCACGTGTACAAATTCCGGGAGCGAATCTCCGAAAGGATGGATGCATCCAAGGCGCCACACTCTTCAGGATCTTAAGGGCAGTGTTTTTGCTTATCTTGCTAATAGTCTTCCCGCACTGGTCGCATCCAAACGACCCTTGTTGATGCTTGCGATGATGGTGGTGATGGTGATGATGATGACCGCCATCGACAACCATGATCGCCTGCGTGCATGCACTTGCTGACAGCCCGAGACAGCGGCACGCAGCTCATACATGGCAGCTCATCTTCCCGCGAGGTGACTGGCGTTAAGGATTTCGTGAAGGCACGCTTGCAGATCCGATGTTCCACTGTCTTAGGGACAAGATGCGTGCTTCAACAGGAACTGGGAGAAGAGTTCAAGGCCCACAAGTACCCCAACTACTGGAAGGTGCTCTAGTCTCAGACCTGTCATGAAGATGTCGTTTGGCGGGTGCGGCTGATATCCTTCGATCCGGCAGGTCCTCGCGTGTGGGACGATCCGTGATGTTGGTGGCCGTTTGTGGATCTGGCATCACGGCAGAGTGATTTAGACTGAGCAGAGCCCTCCGCCATGGCTTTCGCGAGAGCGGCACGCTTTCCGGTCCGGGTCCCCGGCCGGGACTTTTCTACACCCGGGCCGGGGACGTACAGCCCGAGGGCCAGCTGCGGGCTTCCTCGGGTCTTGGTCTACACATTCGGCCAGCCATCGCCGGGTTCGACAGGAGGTGTGGCTGATGGCGATAATACTTAACGGCATTGCCGTTAAGTATTAATACTTAACGGCATTGCCGTTAAGTATTATCGCCATCAGCCACACCTCCAATCGAACCCGGCGGAGGATCGCCGGGCGTTGCATACAGAGGCAATGCTCCTAAGTCGAATCGACCATCCGAATGTGGTCAGGGTTTGTTGTGTCGTAGCTGACAACGGAAATACGACCCGGCTTTGGCATGGAAATCTTAGGGAAAAACCTCCAAGAGGCCCATGACAACGGAGAACTGAATGGACGTGTCCTTGCCGAGGCCTTTAGTCCGACGTGCCAGGGTGTGGCACACATCCATGGCCTGTTGGTTCGCTACCAACAGGCCATGGATGTGTGCCTAACCTTTGCTTCGCACATCCTATGAGCAGTGATATCAAATTGATTGATTTTGACGCTGCACAGGAGCTGAAGCATGCTGACGAGGTTTTGGATCGACTTCCAGGAAATTTGTTAGCAGTGTACCCGGAGAGAGCCAATAAACGGCCCTGCCGCGCGGTTGCCGAAGACGCCTACATGACGGGGTACAATTTCTTCACTTTGCTCGGAGAAACACCAGCCAACCGCGAGACAGGGAAGCTGCAAAGATGGGTGATGTCTTTGATGAGTCCGGTAGAGGAAAGGCCATCGATGCAGCAGATCTTGGAGCAATGCACCGAGCCCATCGAAGATGAACCAGAGCCGACATACTGCCGGCTCTTCTTGTGAAGCCACCTCTTCTTGTGAAGCCACCGGCAGGCCAAGATATATTCACAAAGCTATTTGGGAGCTCCGAGTTGTGTTGATCAAGCGTGCAGAGGCAAAGGCTCTGGCTTTGAGCAACTTGTGAAGTGTAGGGCCATGTAGGGCCCGTCATGAAAGCGCTCGGCCAGCGTGCGGCAAGGGAGCCCTCGAGGTCCTTCGGGCGATCTTACAGGTTGAGCGGTGGCATGACTTCAGCTACACTGACCCTCGACTGGTGAACGTTGCTCCACAGGAGCTTCTTGATCCAAACAATGGTTCCAAGACTATGCCACCAGGCCAATGACGGGAAAGTCTGCGGCATGCATTCAAAGCCACGTCCGGTCCACTGACCTGGGACGATCCAATTCCCAGCGAAGCGCATGCGGGTAATGAATGTCCTGCCCCTTTGTGCCATGGAAAAGCTGTGTGTCGTGTTGTTACCTTTACCGCTCAACTTGCATGACCGAGGCATCGGCGGGCAATGCTGCAGAAGGCAAAGCGTGACTTCGTACGAGGCTTCAAAACGGTTGTGGCAGACGAGATTCCTCCAGAGTTTTGGCTTTGCCAGACTTGGTGTGGTGCAGGCAATCTCAAGGGTGCGATGGAGAAGCTGCAGCGCCGCCGGGCAGCATCTGTTTGTGCGGAGCGGGAGCGCCTGTTGATGAACGTGACTGAGAGCGAGGCCACTTCGGAGCGCCGGGCTCGGAGATTCTGCACCCTCTGCTCTACTGACTCTACTGTGGCTTGCAGACCGGAGGTGCAGCAGATGCTGGATCGATTTCGATGCTATCACAAGAACTGTGGGCGCAAGTTGGATCATCATGCTGAGATGTGGCAAGCTCAGTGAGGTAGCGGGAGGGAGCCTTCCGTCTACCCACGTCTGCCTTGAGCTATGCAAGACACGGCGGGGCTGGGCTGGGCGCTTGGGCGAAGCGTGTCTCAGAGGAAGCTCGTTGTGAGTAAGTGGTTGGGACAGTCCTCCCAGCAAGAGCGCAGTGCGGGTGTGCGTGTCTCTGTGTGTCTGTGTGTGTCTGGGTGGGTGCGCATGTCTTTGTTTTTTCGTGTGTTTTTTGTGTCTCGTCTTCCGCGGTTGGAGGTTCCGTTGCCCCCAACTTTTGGATGTCCCCTTGAGCGGTGTGGCGTAAAGCCTGACCACTCAGGCAGAGTGATGTAGTGTGTCAACACGAATCGAATCGAGTGGAACGATGCATTGGTGCTTGAGCTTGTGAAGCCGGCATGCCCGCCTGTTTGCTGAGATGCAAGTGCGCCGGGTTCTACTGTCACATCCACCAGCCTCCTCAGGCAAGGGATGGCAAGGCTGTTTTGCCGTAGCTCATGGCCATAAGTGTTACGGCAGGTCCACAACTGTAAGGAGATGAAGAAGATCCTGGAAACGAAGGCTTCCGAAAAGATCTGGCCTCGTTTCCGATGTTCCCAGCCTTCAGGCGAAAGAAGCCAAGGATCTGGAGATCAAGCTGAGGGAGGAGGGCGGAGACCCACCACCAGAGGCTCGTGCATTAGAGTGACAAAGCAGATGCGCAGCTTCGCACCACTTGCTTGTGAGACTTCCAGCTTCCAATCACCGTTTGTTTGGAAAGTCCAAGCGCAGCCCTAGCCCCTAGTCTCCCTTAAGCGCATACCGTGAAAAGAGGAGAAGTTCGACAACAAGGTGGAAATCGGACTCCTCCTGGAGGCCAGGGCCTGGGCCTGGGTCGGGCTCTGAAATCCTCCACCCTCCCTGTAGCCTACTTGGCCGAAACAGGCACATGAGCTGGCGGAGAGCATCCAGGCTGCGCTGAAAGAGAAGGACCGAGCCTCCCTGCTGATCGGTCAAAATGGATGTACTTGTCGTGCATGATGCTGCTCTTGCAGCTTGTTGTTTGCGTTACTCGTCGTTGGTTCTTGCAGGCAGGAGGGGGCTTGAAGTCTGAATTTGGAGAGAGCGTAGCCTTACGTTCAAAGTACGTGTTGATGAACGCTGCCCTGTAGGC